TTTTTTTCAATCTCTTTTCTTTGGATAAAAATAATTCCTTCTCCACAACTTTTTCCAGTTGCTAAGATACATGTTTGCGAAGACTTCATTGCTTTCAGGAACATATAATCTACAAGTGGGATGAAACACGCCCTCAATTTCACGAAGCCCTTGTTGAACACTACATTGTCCGAGTAAAATTGCTGTATAAGGATTATGTGCAAGCTTATCCTGATGGTATCTGGTTTCAGAAATTTTCCTTGCTAAGTTAATTTTTTGTCCACTTCAGATGAAAACATTATCAAAGCAGGAGAGGAGGATGGTGAACTGGGAGAAATGCGAAAACGACTGTTGAAGTTCTTACGATTTTCACTGTATTACAGTCCGCAGGCTGTAATATTGCAGCTTAGTAATTGCGGTTAGTTTCCTTATACTCACAAAAACGTTCCAATCATCTTTAGTGAGACTTGTTACCCCAATATTTCCTAGCTTAATTTTCTCAGATTGCGCGAGTGACGAATAGTTTTTGAGCGCATTAAGAAATCAGATTTGCTATGTGATTAAGTGATATTGTCGATTTCAGCATTCTATGAAGAGAGAGCACTTGTCCTCGGACGGTTGAAACACCACGAACAGGTAATGCTTTGATACTTTCTTGTTTTTTGTTTCCATTAATTCGTAGGATCTTCCTCATGATGCAATGTGTGTATCTTTTTGGTTTTGATTTTTTAATGTCGCCGATCAATCCGATTTATAAATTGTTCTTCTAGGCTCTAGCAATCTATACTTCCATTTTGAATGATTTTGATGCGGCAGAGGAGTACTGCCAGATTTATTACGATCGCAGTGATGAAATTAATTCACAGGTATAAATACCTTTTTTAATCAGCAGTTCTATGTTTGAAACAGATTTCTGAGGGCTAGTCTTTTTCCAGGTGTATCTGCTACTTTTCCGTGCTTTTGTTTGTCCTTTGGATCCAATGATAGCAGGACTTTTGGAGAAAGATCTTCCAACTCCAGAGTCCGATGTGCACAGCGCTATTCGAGTTTTGAGCAGACATGCGGATAAAATCGATACAGGTATGGTTGAAGGTATACATAGGGTCATCACATCGTAGAAGTCATGCGGAATTCGTATATCTCCAGTGTGCATAAAGAAATAATCTTGTGTGTGAGGTCGTACTGGTTCTAGTACGTTAGTGCGGTTGCACACCACCGGTCAAATTGTTGAAAGACACGAAATATCCACTATTGGTACTAACTGATTAATTATCTAAATATGGGAATGATCGTTCAGTTGCTGCTCTATCGCTAATTCCCAATGACACCCCACTTTGCACTTTGTCCAAAGCTCTCCATGCTGTCTTACAAGCAACTCACGATGATGCTTCTGCTGTGAGTTTGCGCTTTTGTCACTCTTAGCTTCTCAAGGGTAAAATATTGAAATACTTCTTTTTTGAACAAATACACTGTAGCTACCAGATTATAGTTTGCATTACGTCGGTCGGTGTGCCTTTGTGGTGTAGAATCCCATGAGGAAAGGCTCCGACAGGTGCTAAAACAGCGGATAGTGATTGGAAACTCAAGTGAATGCTCAAAATGTGGCAAAAAGATTGGAAACAGGCAAGTTTTGAATTAGTTTTTCATAAGACCCTTTCATTTTTGAATTTTGCAGCGCATTCGTACGATATCCCACCGATGGGTGTTTGGCACATTTCGGTTGCCATGCCGAGTCATCAGCAACAACACCAACAAATGTATTGTAATCTCAATGTTCATATTCGGAGAATAGAAGTATAGGCGGGTTTTTTTCAGTCATTGAAGTGTTTTCAACATCTGTATTGTCACACCATAATTGTTGCTTTCAAAATTACTTTACTTCATTCAGAATCTTTAAAGAAAAAGTAAACGCAGAGATCTAGAAGAGAAAGTACGGAGATTCACTGTTGTAAAGATTGCTCTATTAGTTTTGCCTTTATCCATCATCATTTCCCAGAATCTGTTCTTTCGTAGATAAGAGAATCGGAAAGCTAAGCTTATCATTTGATTATCTAAATTTAGAATTTACTCCATAATTTTTTTTCCTTCCACATTTCTTGCATGAGGTTCTGCCTGAATTGTGTACATAATCTTGTTAAGTTAAAGGGCAGAATTTACTTGCAAACTTTTTTATCTCATTATTGTTGAACTCTTTACTTTGTCCTTTCCATGACTCATTTTTGGTTTATAGTCTTCACAAAGGTAGGTTGGCTTGTACTTTAACTATTATCGTGTTGTAGCTCATTCTTCTTTCACTTACCACTTTTAAAATGGCCTTTTTGTACGTTGTTCCAGATTTAAAGTAGTAATACCACCTTTTTTAGATCTTCCTGTTTGCCACCGCATTTCTTTTGAATTTGTCCTTTGTTTTTACGGTTCAGTCTGTGTTATTTATTCTATTTGAGTTCCATTTCTCTTCATTTAATTAGCTCGAACAAACTTCGTCAGAATATATGTATCTGTATTTGAGCGATTTTATTTTATAATCACGTTCCCATGTACATATATAAAAGTTCATAACTCAATGTATTGCATGGTGCGGATTCGAACGACTTAAGCTTTCTAAGTTACTATGGTACAGGTGATGGAAAGAGCTGCGAACATCTATCTTGGTTCTTTGTTGTCAGAGAACGGTTTTCATAGATCGGCAGAAAGTTGCCGTTTTCTTCATAATCATTTCTCGCTTGAAGCTCAATTGTTTTTTTTTAAACTGCAATGAACATGATCAAAAATAAGACTTTTAATCCTTAAGATCAATTTAAAAGGCTAGTTCAGTTCTAACTTGAATTGGGTATTCAAATGTTCGTTTTCAAGTTTCAAGCCGATATATCATTCTTTGA